TGCTTGACTTAGACAATGTAGGCACCTCAGTTGAGTGGAACTACCTTTGGGCCTATGTTTTTCTGTTATTTTTATTTCCCTGATTTTTTTGTTAGTTTTTTTTTTTTTTTTTTTTGTGTGTGTGTGTGTGTGTGTGTGTGTGTGTGTGTGTGTGTGTATGGTACTAGAATAGAGCCCAGGGCTTCACACATTTAACTAAGTATTTTTCATTGAGCTAACCCCACCACCACCACTGCTATAGCAAATCCAACTCAAAACTGAGATTATCTTTAACCTTAGTTATTCAGGAAAAGAAAAACTCCAGCAATTGATCTGACATGAGTGTTAACAGCAAGGCTTGGGGTTCTGAACTCTTGCCTCTGGGCAGGCAGACAGGCAAACAGGAAGACAGACAGACAAAAAACAAACACACACACAGGCACTCTCTCCCTCCCTCCCTCTCTCTCTCTCACACACACACACACACACACACACACACACACACACACACACACACACACACAAACAGCAGAGGGAAATACACACTTTTTTACCCCTGACACCACACCTTGTTTTGACATACACTGCTGACAAGACTGATAGTGAAGTCAGGGGACAGAGTAGGGTAGGATGGTGATTCTGGCTGCCACCTGTCCCTGTGAAGCCTCTTGACCTGGACCATTGTCTAAACAGAAAGCCAATGTTTCAGGTCCCATCCCATGACTGGAACAGTCAATAACAGAAGCCCTCTTAAGTAACATAGCTAATCTTAGTCATACCTATAGAAATCCTCATTACTGGGTAGCAGCCAACATTCTCATTTCATGAGTAAGCACAGAAGGTGTTCCTGATGAGCTCTGCTGTCTGTATTACATTGACTCATATTGCTAGTGTCCTGTTTCTGTGAGAACTGCACAGAGAATGGGTCTCTCTAACAATGGAACCATACTCACAAATGCCCAAAGTCATTCATCATAACCAATAAAGCTACAAGAGTAATAACTCTGTGGTTCTGGAAATACTCAACATTGTACAACAAACTGATATTCAAGGCAGAACACTAGGAGAAGCCTCTTCCCAAAAACAGTAACAATATCCACTGTAATGCACATGCTAAGATCAACATAGAAGTGTGAGATATGGAAAAATAAACTTGGATACTTCTTAAAGCTCACACATTTGCAATAATAGATCCCACAGTATTGAAGTACATGAAATTCTCAAAAAGAATTAAAAGTGACAATTAAAAAAAAAAGTCTCTATGAAGTGCAAAGAACTACAGGTAAGCAATTAAATGAAACAAGGATATCAACAAACTCTATGCATTAGAAATTCAGTAAGGGACTAGAGATTTGGGGAAAGAACAAATAGGAAATATAGAAAATGAAAACACCAAGTCAAAAAAACAGATTGGCTGAGCTGAGTGTAGTGGTTAAGGCCTGTATTCCCAGCACTTGGGTTGATGAAGAAGGAAGACTGCAAGTTTGAAACCAGTCTGATGATACAGTGAGACCCCATTTTAATACAAAACGTAACAAAGAACAACTGAATGCCTGAATAACAGACCATATCAAGCAGAACAAATGTTAGAATGTGAAAACAGGTCTCTTAAATAATGACATTCAGACAGAAATAAGGGGAAAAAAGGAATGTATGTAGAAATCATTCCACATCTTTGAGACACTATTTAAAAACCAAAACTTTGTATTATTGGTAGAAATAAAAGCTAAGAGCACACAATGACTATTGAATTGTAAAAAAAAGTATAGCAGAAAAGCCCTCAAATATTGATGGAGGGAAATGGACATTCATGTGTAGAAGGAATTTAGAGGCTCAAATTGACATGGCTAGAAATGAACCCCAAAGTGAAATACAATCAAAAACCAAAAGTACATAACAAAGAGAAGAACTTTAAATTCTATGAGAGACAAGTGCCAACTCAAATTTAAAAGCAAGCCCATTTGACTGCCAGCAGATTACTCAGTAGACACCAAAAAGGCAAGGAGGGCATGAGATGACACATGTTAAATCCTTGAGAAAATAACTATCAGTCAACATTACTATGACAAGTGAGGTTATCCTTTTGAACTGAAGAAGTAAAGACATTCCAAGAAAAGCATGCACTAGGGAATCTGTAAATATTAGACCAGCCATTAAGGGAGACATAAATCAAAAAACAGAAGAAATATATCAGCTGTCATAAAAGCAAGGGAAAGAAAAAACACTTACTATTGGAAGATAGGATGCTCAAATGAAATCCAGAAAACAATCAAATACTATTAATACAGTTAGTCATCAAACTACAAAAATGAATGTGAGGATATGAAAGGAAAAAGAAAAGAATATTCAAAACAATTAGAAGAAACTCAGCAAAATGACAAGAAAAAAAATCCTATTGTTCCATGATTATTCCCAATGTAATCTTCCAATTAAAAGATACAGACTAGCTAAATATGTTAAAAAGATGTAAAAATGTGTGGGGCTGGAGATGTAGCTCAGTTGGCAGAACATTGTCCTGTGTGCACAAAGCCCTAGGTTTCATCCTCAGCACTACATAACCCAGATACATCGGTGTGTACCTGTTATCCTAGCACTTGGAAGACGGGGGCAGGATCATACCCTAACATAATAAATGACAGAGTCAACATCATAGTAATGGAGGGTGGGGTACTGAAAGCATTTCCTCTAAGGAACAAGACAAGGACATCTGCTCTTCCTGTCCTAAATATAAAAGATTTGGGCACAGCAGTTAGTATAGAGAAATAAATAAAAGGTACACAACTAGGAAATGTGGAAGCCAGCATGTCCCTGCTTGCAGATACTATCATTCATTCCTTTGCAAGGGAAGGTTGATGCAGCAGAAGTTCTAGCATGTAAATAGTGCACGGACAAATTAATCTGAGTTCTCTAGGGAACATAAGGGAGCTCTTTCTGAATATATAGGCCATATAGCAGAGACCCCAGGTAGGACATGCCATGGCAAAAATCTTCACAGAGCAGAGGTAACTCTAGATGTGTGCATAATGAGATGCAAAATAAGCATCAAAACAATCTTTTCTGAAAACACAAGGGCAGTAAAACCTTTTCCAACACTATAGAAAAGAATAAAATAAATTCCAGTAATGTAAAGTTCAATGTCTGACATCCAATAAACAATTATTAAGCACACAATGAAGAAGGGGATCATAACTGGGATCAACAGAAATCTATAGAACAGACTAATACATGACAATGATGCTTGCATAAGCAGAAAGTACATTAAAGTAAATATTAAACAATTGCTACTACACTCAGGGATTTTAAGAAAATATGAAACAGTGGAGAGATACAGAAGATATTTAAAAATCCCTAAAGTGATATCTAGATGTGAGAAAGTCAGTATTTAAAATGAAAGTGCACCAGTTACGATTCTGGCTGTTCATATGTGACAAAAGCGAAATCAGCAGAGAACATGACAGGGACTGGAAACTTACTGGGGACCCGTGTGCAGTGATGAGCAAGTCAATGTTATGTGGTCTCACACACACAATTAGAGATTTAGAAAAAGTGGGGCTTCAGCCTCTCTGAAGAAATGACAGCTTTAAATTTCATGTTGGTGGACATCTAAGAAGCCAAAGCCCACCAAAGTTCCACGCTGTGCACCGGCAGCACACCAACCTCCCCAGGGTCCGGTCACAGCAAACCACCAAGCAAAGGAAACTTAAGCGCAGAGGAGAAGAGCACAGAGTTCAAGGGAACAGGAAGGAGAGGCTGTAGACTTGCTAGCACTTACTCCAGAAGACGAACAATATTAAAAGACTGAAAAATTACAAACAAAATTCACAGGCTGAGTGAACTAGTCATTCATAATCTACAACTGAATGCTCAAGGAATCTTATTAGATCAAAGGGGAACAGCTGAAATTAAGATGAGGTTATATCAAGTTTTTAAGCAATTACATATCAACATATACTATAATAAATGTATTGGAACATATAATACAGTATTACATAATTATAAGATTATAATACTTTAAATTATGGTATATACTTAATATCATTAACTATACAATTAATAGAATCAGATATTACATTTATTATATGATTGCTATATCTTAATCGTTGGTAGCTTATTACTGCTGACAACAAATTAATAATTTATAACTGTACATATTTATTTTGCCACTGTTTTGAAATTCAGGCATGTTCTAGCTGGAGGCTGGGTCTCCCAGGCTGCAGTAAGGGCTGCTTTCACAATGGGAAGCTTTAGTACAAAAGAATGAGCTTCCACACTCAAGCAGAGTTGAGGCAAAATTTATTTTCTTGTGGCTGGAGATCGGTTGGAGGTCCTGGGTTTTGCTAGTCATTGGCTGGAGACCACCTTCATATCTGAGAATCCATTCAGTGTTCATTCCTATGTGCTTCCTTGTTACTTCTATTTGTTTCAAGCCAACAAAAGTAGCTCTTGTGTAGAGGGAAGTTTCTCGGTCTTGCCCGGCCCCATGGTCCCGCAGCTGCTTATAAAATAATCATTCAGAGGCTTATATTAATTACAAACTGTATAGCCTATGGCTTCAGCTCCTTTCTCTTTCATCTTAAATTAACCCATTCCTGTTAATCGATATGTTGCTACGTGGCCGTGGCGTTACTGGTCTGCTGGCGTCTTGTTGCTCCTTGGGCAGCAGCTGGCATCTCTCCTGACTCTGCCCTTCTTCTTTCTGTATCTTTGCTTGGATGTCCCACTTGGCTGTAAGCTTTCTTGCCAAAGGCCAAAATAGCTTTATCCAATGGGAGCCACACATATTCACAATATACAGAAAGACACCCTACAGCACTCTTACTTTCAACTGCTTAAACAGAATGCCATGTCTTATAATGTAATGAGGCAATGGCATTCCATCACCTTTGCCAAATAGATTAACCTAGCCAGGGGTATGTCCTCTATCAGCTTTGCAAATGCTGTTAATGCTACTTGCAATGAATGCTACTTGCAAATGAATAAACAACTACTGTAAATAGTTTTTGATTATCCATGCTGCAGAATAATGTTTACTCTTCTTAAATTCAGAAGTTGAATTACTAACCTCCAAAGTAAGCATAATTAAGATTAAATGATGTTCCAAGCATGGGTCTCTCTCTAAGAACACTCAGTTCTCTTCCTCACAAAAAGGAGGGGAAAATACAAGTTGAGAACTATCCAGGTAACCATAGGGTCAGTCTATATCATGATTACTGCAAGACATTCATCCACTTGCAGAAAGAGGGTGCCTTCAATTTTGCAAGTATTCTTCCATCATTCTAATTAGGTCTTGGTAAACTTCCCAGGGTGCATCCTGTCCAAGGTAAAAATCCAAGTGATTGTAGTGTGGAATCTCCTTGTAGTAGATAAGATTGGTGACTTTAGGGAGCAGATTTTCAGTGTCCTTGGCATCTGCCACAACATCCTGTCCTCCACTCCATATTGCTGTTGGAACCCTCATCTTGGTGATGTTGTATACAGGAGGTGTAAGCTAAATGAAGTGAAGAGAGAAAGGAAGTGAGGGAGGGAGAGGGAGAACTGTACTATGGAAATAAATAAAACCATTGGATATTGAGCTAACTTTTCAAGTTCTAATTTGTTGAACTTGATATATAAAAATAAAAATATTGTGTTAGTCAGTTCACCACTGCTGTGAAAAACTATCTTGGAATAACAACCAAATAAGAAAGGCACGCTCTTAAAATTTCAGAGATCGTAGTACCCAGTTGTCTGTCTTGTGTGCTTTTAGGCCTGTGATGAGGTAGTGCATCATGGCAGAAGCATACAGCTGAGGAAAAAACCCACCACCATAGCTAGGAATCAAAGGAAGCATGTTCATGAAATAACATGATATGAAAATAAAGGGCAGCCATCA